GCTCACAGAAGGGTTTATCGGACAGAACACAGAGGTTCGCAGCTGTGGCTGCGGACAGTACTTGCGAAACTGACTAGATCAACCAAAACCCTATGCCCGATACACCCCATTAAAACCCAAACCCTAAACCCCTAAACCCCATGCCCGATACACCCCATCAAACCTACGGCAAACCTTAGAGTAAAGCCTAGAGCCCTGCAGAGCTCCCTCCAAGGACCTTTTGGGGGTCGCTTCCACAGCCGCCCTCAGAGGAGCTAACCCTCAATCCCTTAAGCTGTTAATCTAAAACCCTATGAACCCTAAAAAAGCTCATCCCTGAACCCCAAGCCCTATAGATAGACCCTATAAGCCCTTAAGCCCCAAAGCCCCAACCCCCAAGCCAAGATTCTCCGCAGGTTGCTGCGCCGAGCGGAGCGGCTGCCACGATGGCAAGGATGGATCAGGAGCCCAGAGCTTCATGGCTTTGGCAAGTACCTTCTAGGGTTTAGGGTTTAGGAAGTTTAGGGTTTCGGGTTGAGGGCGTAGGGGTTTAGGGTTTAGGGTGTTGGGTTTTAGGGTTTGGGGTGTAGGGGTTTAGGACCTTAGGAATACAACCTGCCTTTTTAGGGGTTCCTTATTATGATGTCTTTATATAAGTCCTTAAAAAGGTAGGGTCCAGGTAGGCTGTAGGGTTCAGGCTTCAGGGTTTAAGCTTCAGGGATTAGGCTTCAGGGTTTAGGCTTGAGGGTTCATGCTTGAGGGTTTAGGCTTTAACTGGGCTTTGGGGTGTAGGGTTTAAGCTACTGCGCAAGGGCATTGTGCAGAAGTTTCTACTCACTAGCTTGATGGTCATAGCATCGCCAAACTTCACTCCCCAACCCTAAACTGCCCTAAACCATATGTTTAGGGGTTTTGGGTTTAGGGTCTAGGGTTTTGGGTTTAGGGTTATAGTTTGTTTGTCCTTTCTGCTTCTTTCTTCGAAGCAGACCGATAGGCCATCGACCTCGTGCAGTGGAAGAAAGGGGTCAAGAAACATGTAACAAAGCCTACACCAAAGCCGTGCAGGCCCTACAGTATGCCCACTGTAGGCCCTGCAGTAAGCCCAACCCTTCTCGTGTTGAAGTTTGTGGAGGACGTGAATGCCGGTGCTGAAGCCATGGATGCGAGAATAGACAACTTCTTGCGATCCTGTGTCGTCCAGTGATTCCGCTTCTGAAACTGAAACCGAGTCATATAATTTTAGCTTACCTTTAACCAGATCAAAACCATAAGCCCCAAACATCCCCATGCCATAGTCTGAGAATTGCCCCAGACCCCTAAATTCGACTTCCAAACCCTGAAGCCCAAACCGTAAACCCTACACCCAAATCTCATAACTATACGGGTAATTCTCTGAATTAGCGTCCCCAGTAGGGTAAAAGGCTACAGTACTATTTTGGGGACCCAAAAAGAGACCCCAATTTAGAGAACTACCCATAGGATGTAAACCCTGCAATTTCTGGAATCACCAGAGAAATATAGTTTAGGGTTTACGGGACCCCGGAAAATGCAGAGATCGGCGTGTACAGACCGCTGAATGCAACCGGGGGGCAGAGAAAATGGTGTTGATACTAAGGCTCTTCGGACTCGTCTTAGAAGCCCATACTACATGAGGCTTTTGGGCTATTTATTGTGAGCCTGAGGGACAGGGTTGGGGTAGTGACAGGGCTGTAAACACCTATGCTTCGCAATGACAGTTCTTTGTTCAAGGGAAGCAGGGTAGCACAAACTGGAACTGCGAAGGAGGCCAAGCGCTAACCCCTCAACCCTAAACCCCAAACCCTAAACCCTAAACTCTAAACTCTAAACCGTGGCTAACCCTGCATATCTAACACCGGGCTCTGATATAGGGGCCTTAATAATCAGAATAGGGTTTGGGGTATTTTATACTATACTCATAGAAAGGAACCCCCGAAACCCTATTCTAATTGTTCTGGCCCCCACTTTTGGTGCGGTCAGGAGCCGAGACTAAGCTGTCATAGTCGTTTCCCATGCCGCAGACTGCCGCAATAGTAAGCCCAGACCTTCAAAAAATTCAACTAATGAAGGCACAGACCTTTAAACATCAATGAACTAAGGCATATACCCTAAACATCAATGAACTAAGGCATATACCCTAAATCCTATTAGGGATCTATTACTTTTCTGATAAGGTATATTCCATATATAAGGGCTTTTGGAAGGTCCTGGAGCTTCGAAGCCACTGCGTTGAACGGTTGTTTGCCGAACTCGTAGTACTAGAAATTGCCCATAGGCCCCTAAGTAGTTCCTTTTTGTGGATTATATTTAGAATCCTATAAGGTAATCTAAGAAAGGAACTACTTAGGGGCCTATGGGTGGTTTGCTTGCACAATACATTCCTCAGTTCGGGCTTTTATAATTCTTGAATCTGCAGTGTTGCTCGGATCATGCGTGCATGCTTCAAGAACTACTGACCTTTGCCGGCCATGGTTCACATGCTGCCCTGTGCTGCAAGTTTGTCCCAACAGGCAAGCAGCCAGGAGACCGCTTCAGGGCGATGTACTGCTGATGGTATAAATCCTGCATCACCTTAAGGACCCTAAGCTATGGGGATTATGGTATATTCCTTATTATGGGTAATGCAGGATTTATATCATCAACCGTAGCTTGGGTCTAGCTCTTGCACTTTTCAGGGAGTGTCACGCTTGGACTCCTGAGTGCAAAAAAAAATTGTTGTTTACAGATTTACAGATATGCTACGGCTTATGGTAGAGTATCTATTGCTGAGTTTTACAGCGTTTAGGGCACTTGTTCTGTTGGTGCCTCGGGGGGGAGGGGGGGTGCAGATAGACTCGCCATGTGGCTGGCCTCTGGGCGCGTCGGCAGCGGCACTTGTTTTGGATGCTGTCCGGCTACATCTCCGCAGCTGCTTGGTACAGTACTGCACCTGAGATCCAAACTGCGTCCCTAAGCCACAACCTCAAATCCTAAACTCCAATTCCTGTAAGCAGTTGTTCTTGCCTCACTTTAGGTTTTTTTTTGCCACGGCACCGACCCTCTTCTAAAAAGGCCCCAAGGGATTATTAAACACCATATTTCTATTTTGTTTCGAAGCGGGCGCAAGTTAAGAAGGCTTGGATGGTTGCTCCGAGAGTTGAGAAGGTCGTCCGAATAGATCAGCCGGAAGGGTACGAGTAAACTTTTGCTAGTTTGGTTGGCTTAGTAATGCTTATTACGTGTGTAATATAGGGGCCTAAGTTATTAACCATATTCCTTGTTTAGTGAGAAGCAAAAATGCATGTATACACACCAAACCCCTGCTCTGTGCTAAGTATGAAGGCACTCCAACAAGGCCGCGGTGTATACTACCCAGAGTCCAGAGGATCAGGGGACTTAGTAAGCACAGGAAGTAAGGTGCTGTTTAAGCTTGCTTGCTAAGTCCCACGACACTTCAAGTACAGAGTTCTGCGTAGTGATCATTAGCCATTTCTTGCTCTGGACCCTAAACCCAGGCAGCCGCATACAAAGGCATATGTATATGTGTCTGTGTGTATATATATATATATACATACATGGGTACACAAATATCTGTGTATCTATGTGTGTATATAATATATATATATGTATATATATATATGTGTGTGTGTGTAGTTATGTGGTCGTTCGAAACCGAGGCGTTTGGTCCCATGCGGGGCCAAGCAACTGCGGCGAGGTGCAGGATCTCTTGTTGGGGGTTCAGGGTTAGCCGAAAGGCTTCAGAGTTTTGGATTCAGACAGGGTTTTGGGCTTCAGTGTTTTGGGTTTAGGTTTGTGGCGTCGGCGTTCTTCTTGACACGTCACATGTTTTGAAGGGTTGGAAAGTTTGGGCACGGTGGGGCTTACCTGGAGGAACCGGCCGGGACTCCGCCTAGAGCCCAAAAGACCCATGTACCCACATAGTATATACTTGGGCCCTTAAAGTAAAGTAGTCCCCATATAGGTACTTTGGGGTCCAAGTATACACTATTTGGGTGCATGGACCCGTGAAGAGTCCACGGTTTGCCAAAGGCAGTATGGTATAAAAGCCTAACTATTTGCCAATTGTTGCATGGTCCTGAGGGTTCCTCATTATACTTATAGTGCGTTGTAGTAGAATGTACCAAGAAACTTTAGTCTACTTATGAAGACTGTGAGGCCCTGCATCGTTGATTGGCCCGAGGCGGTGCATGACTTCCCGGAAGCCTCCTCCAAAGCCAGCACTTCGCGATTTTGAAGTTCGCTTAGGATTTAGGGTTTCGGGTTCAGGGTTTTCAACACCTGAAGTCCGAAAGAGGAGGAGCTTTGATTGCCGGCTTCGTTGGCATCACCGGGCGTTGCATGATCGAGCCGGGCCATCCTCCTCGGCCGCCCTTGCTGAGATATTAGGGAGCAGGTTTTTGGGGCCAGCACCATTATCACTATCCCTGCCACTGGCACCTCCGCGACGACGACGACGACTACTACTACTGCTAACACTACTACTACTACGGCTACTTACTACTGCTACTTCTACGACTGCTACTGCTACTGCTACTGCTGCTGCTACTGCTACACTTCCACTGCCACTGCCACTGCCAGTGGTCCTGCTCCTGCTCCTGCTGCTGCTCCTGCTGCACTACGACGACGATGATTCATACCACCAGTCTCTGTTACTTGCTGATACCGACACCGACGACATCCACCACTATAGCAAACGCTTGCCTCAGCCCATTGACCCACCACTATCAAGGATTCCGACTCGGCAGCAGCAGCACCAGCAACAACAGCACCAGCACCAGCCACGCCGCCCACCAGCACCGGCATCACCACCGCCGCCACTTCCACAACTACGACAAGACACTATCGATAACAACGGCGACGACGACGGTTTACGACTGCTAACACTTACAATACTTTCAAACTGGCCTGAGTGTCTTTTCATTCCGACATTGAACTGATGGTTGCGAACCTGTGACCGAAGGTCCTGCGCGCGTGGCGCAGAGAAGACGGCTGCGTGGCGGAGTATGGCATTGCAGTCAGAGCTTCAGAAGCATGGGACGCTGGACAGCAGGTCTCCATAGTGGACAATGTATGAAGTGGGACGTTAACTAAGCTTTTGAGACGTCTTTGGTTCAAACTCATTGGTTTTTATGCTTCGATGAGATCAGAGCAACCACGCAGTCAGCATGTGGTTTGAAATAAGAGGCTTTCTTCCGCAGGCTCTTGTCTTCGTGTTATTCCTACAAAGGCTCCCTTACGACGGGATTCTTTTAAGCATCCTTTCAGAGTCCTTTAAAGGTTCTACAACGGTTCCTTCAAGGTTTAAGGATCCCACAACGGTAACATTGGCCAATGGCCCCACAGAGCCCACAAGTAACGAGAGTTGTTCGGACAGCTGGCCTCCATGCTGTTTTATTTTTGCAAGAGACGATAGTTTCTTGGCCTTCAGCTCCCGAACCAGCAGCATCCTGAAACCAGCCATGCTGAAAGGGTTATAATACGAAGAGTTCTACAGGTACCGGATTGCATCGTCTCCTTTGGCCGACAGGGATCAAGACAAGGAACACAGTATTTTTGTGGACATGCAAGTGTTAAAGGGTCTAGACTTTTAAGGCCTACAAGTTTCACTCTCATTTATGCAGATCCTTTGTCCTGAGTCAGGGAAGCTCTCTATAGCCCAGACAACTATGCCCAATCCCCAGGATCAGTTTCGAGGAATTGGACCGACCTCCGCACGACCCTCTGCCGCTGGGGCTTTTGTTTGGGAACATAGTTTTAGTGACCATTAATGTGGAAAGCAGGTTGTTTGCTGCTTACTTTATTCATGCATGCCTTTATTATGTCACGCAAGTCAGGCTTCTTGAAACAAGAGCCCAGGCTGTATCCCGCCATCCGCTGCTGCCGGGCCTTCATTTGCCCCAACAGCGACAAGGCCTTAGACTAAGGCTTATAGGGTTTATAGGGTTTAGGGTTTAGGAGTTTAGGGGTTTAGGGGTTTAGGGTTTAGAGTTTAGAGTTAGTTTGGGGTTTAGGACTTCTGTAGGATGTCTTCCATCGTTTGCTTCAGAGTTTGGGGTCTACGTCTTGGGCGCCAGGGTCTGGGCTTGCGATTTAGCTTTCAAGGGTACCAACCGTGCCTAAGTCTACATGTGTTTCGTTGACACCGTCGTCGTAAAAATGAATGAATGAATGAAGGAATGAATGGTATGAACTTAAATCAAATGAGTTTTACATGACATGGTTTTACACGAAATGAGTTGAAATGAAATGGAATGGAATGGACTGGAATGATTGCATGAAGGCATCAATGGATGAATGAACGAGTGAATGAAGTGATTAATGGATTACCTGACTATTCAACCTCGTATCATTATTGCTTTTATGATTCCTATTATCATCCAAGCATTTGTTTTACTACAAGTCTCGTTACTATTATCACTGTTTTGTATTTCAATCCCCACATCTGAACCCTTGAACCCCAAATCATCCAAACCTCCATCCAATCTCAACAGAATTAAAGCCGAAAGCAATCTCTCTCGGTCAAGATCATCGGCTCCCCCCTGACCCTCACCCGCCACGCCTCACAAACCCTGACATCCAACCTCCAAGCTTTCAAGCCATGTAGACTACTAGGCCCGAGGCGCTATAAACAGAAACCAGACCACAAACCCCAATGGGGGTTTCCGAAAATAGGGGACCCTCATATAGTGCCCTAAATAGTAGGATCCTTATTGTAAGGATCCCAAAGGTACCCTAATTTTCGGAAAGTCCCAAATTGCCCCAAAACCCTAGACTCCCTAAAGCTAAGTCCCTGCCAAGGCGCTACAGGTGGCGAATCGCCCTGGGCGGGCTGCGGCGGTCGCCGCCGGCGTGCGGGGCTTGGTCCAAAGCGCAAGACAGGCTCGGCCAGAGGGTGAGGGTTTTAGGGCTTTAGGGTTTTAGGGTTTTAGGGGTTGGGGTTTAGGGTTTTAGGGTTTAGGGTTTAGGGGTTAGGGTTTTAGGGGCTAGTTTTCGGAGTTAGGAGTTCAGGGTTTGAAGCGTTTCAGGGGTTAGCGTTTTAGGGTTTAGGGTTTTAGGGGTCTGGGTTTAGGGTTTAGGGTTTTAGGGTTTCAGGGTGTAGGGTTTTAGGGGTTAGGGTTTTAGGGTTTAGGGTTTGAGGGGTTAGGGTTTAGGGGTTACCTGTGTTATGTGCTTTGTTATTGTTACGGGCTCATACTACACAAGCCAAAGTCTGAATCCTACTGCAAATCCTCGACCAGTGCATTTTGGGTTCACGAGGTATACTAGTGTTACTAGTGCATGGGTCTGTGCAATGTTAGATGTTTTCATAAGCTGTTCTGGTTGATCTTAGGCTTTCAATGTGGTATATAGTTCTCATGAATGGGAACGAGTATCAGCCGTTGTGAGTGATAGTGCTGTCAAGCCTACTAGACGCTAACATGAACTCTAAGACTCTAAAACCACACTGAATAGAGAGATTCTCCTTTGAGCCCTGAAATATAGAACCCCCGACCGCCCCCTCCTTGAAATTCCCCTAAGACTCCACGTACCTAAAATTTTCATACTTCGGCTCTAAAGGGTTTCCTATTTAGTTACTTTAGGGCCTAAGTATATACTATACTTATAGGTACATCGAACCTTTGGGTTCTAGGTTTGAGAGTTTCCGCAGCCCTTGTCCTTGAAGGCAGCAGAAGCCTGGGAAAAGGAGCGCGTCCTGGCGCAAAGCACGCGCTTGGAAGATCCGCTGCCTGTGACGCTGGTGATTGACTCTGTGCGCTCCACCCAGAGACTTGGTGTCTGGCAAGTTGACAGGGTTTGAGATTTAAGGGGTTAGGGTTTAGGGTTTCGGGTAGGCCTGCTGGTTCAGGGCTTCGGTCGGTCCAAATGTCGTATATAACTTTTGTTGCCATAGAATGTCCAAAGCCCGGTGCGCCGCGTGTTTCGTGGAGGCTTTGTCCTGCAGGGGCTCGAACTCAGGGTTCAGAGCGCATTGCAGGTGCCGTGTTGAGCGTCAGCCACCGAATGGAGCCGGTTTGATGCGTTGGATTTGTCGACTTCCGGGCATATAGGACCGGGTCTATGGTGGCTATGCTGATTCTTCTGGCTTCTTGGTGATGGAAGTTGGTATCGTTTTTGTTTGCAAGGTTCGGTCTAGCCTGCCAAGGAATGTGGTGTCCTTGCTGGAGACCTGTGCCACGGCCGGTGTGGCGGAGGTTATCTTTTGTGGCATTACCCCGGCACCTCCCATGCTCCATGGGCTGCAGTTAGCCTTGGGCTCGAAGGCCTAGGGCCAGATTGACATTACCTAGACCCTTAAATCTAGTACCTTTTTTTTGGTTATCCTAGTTTCTTATTATATGATCCTAACCCTAAAATAGGTCATCCAATAAAAGGTACTACATTTAACGGTCTAGGTATTGTAGTCACAGTCACGACGGTAACCTGAAAACCTTGGCTTTCTCAATCGGTTGACCCTTATGGCCCCCTTTTACACTCCAAACTTGCGAATCCGTCCGCCTTTAACCTCAATTGAAAGCCATCGCCCATGTTTTCTGAAATACCCAAATTCCCACAGCGTAGACATTCACTCGAACCCTTAAACAAAAGCCCAAGCCTCTGAGAAAGGTATTCCATCCTCCGACGGGCTCGCACCGCCGCTGCGCAGGCGCGCCTTGTGGATTTAGGTTCTGAGGACCTGTACCTTGAGATAAAACCCTTAAAGGAACCCTACCTATGACTACCCATGAACCTCTAAGTAGGGCTCAGAGTTGAGGGTTCAGGGCCTTGGCTCTAGGAGCCTGCCTGGATCCCAAAGAACCTACCGTTTTAAGGACTTATGTTAAGAAATCATAAGAAGGATGCCTAAGAATACTAGAAAGGAAGGTTTTATAGGGTCAAGGTAAGGACCGGTACCTTGGGGTGCTTGAGCCCACGACCCATAGGAAATGCATCTGTGGGGGAACATTGAACCTCATCATAGGAGGTGCCGTGGGGGCTTTCTCGCAGTTGCAAACGATGGGTTACTACAACTCTGCAACAAGCACCTGACTGCAAACCGGTATGCTTCACCTGTTCGTTGGTACCTTGGTTACTCTAGGGTTGAGGTGGATGTGTTGCAAAACTAGCCCAAAGGAATTTCGGGTCTGTGGTCTGTTGTGTTCAACACCGGTAAACCCCGTGGAGGTAACTCCTCGGAAGTCACTGATACTGTTTCTGCTTCTGCTTGTGCTGCTGATGCTGCTGCTGCTTGTACTACTACTACGACGACGACGATAGCCACGATGACTAGTACTGCTGCTGCTGCTGCTGCTGCTGCTGCTGCTTTGATTGGCCACCACTGATACTAGTGGAGATTAGTGGAGTTACTGACTACAGCTGCTGCTGTTGTTTGTTTGGCTCATCCTTTTAAACTTTAACCTTGTTTTCTCGCACAGGCCCTCCCTAAACCCTAAGCCCTATCAACCCAAAACCCCGAAGAACTAAATCCCGAAACCCCCAAACCCTGAGCCCTAAACCCTAAACCCTAAGCCCAAAACCCCAAGAACTAAATCCCGAAACCCCGCAAACCCTAAGCAAGGTGCCTTCCAGCTTTGCCGTTTCTGCAAAGGAGGCCGTCAGCAAACTTCAGGCCGGTTTGGGGGGTTTGAGGGTTTAGAGTTTAGGGTTCAGGGTTCAGGGTTTAGGGTTTAGGGTTGAGGGTTTAGGGTTCAGGGTTTTTAGGGTTTAGGGTTTAGGGTTTAAGGGTGTAGGGTTCAGGGTTTTTAGGGTTTAGGGTTTAGGGTGTAGGGTTTAAGGGTGTAGGGTTTAGGGTTTAGGGTTTAGGGTCTCCGAGGTTAGAGTTTATGACCATTGGGTATAGTAGTATAGGAGGTGAATACCTGGGTTTCGGTTTGTAGAGTCTACAGGAATGAGGCTTCATTGCGGTGTAGTATTGAGGCCTTTGGGTTCGTTGCCTGGGGTTAGTTTTCGTTTTGCACTACTTTCCCGTATGAGCAAGCCGTCCCTTTGTTCAGGGAGTGTGTTTTCCTCGGGGCTTTCGAAGGTTTTGCATGTTACTTTAGCAGAGTGCACATCGTGATTGAGCCTTGGATACGGCATCCAAGCTTGACCAACGCGCACAGAATAAGCCCGAGGAGCCCTGAAACCCTAAATCCTCAAACCTGTCAAGGCCACTGGTGTTCAAGTCTGGGCGCTGGAGACGACATCGCGGGCACGCCCTCTGGAAGAAATGCCACTGCCTGAAGAGCCCCTAGCGCTGTCCCTGGGCGGCCTGCTGTTTGGACCTTCTCCTTGTTGCTATAATCTGTAGTACGCCGCGTGGTCATCGTCGTTTCGTGGTCCGAGGAGGAGGAGGAGGAAGTGGAGTCGGTGTAGGAGTAGGCGTAGGACTGTAGGAGTAGAAACAAAGCTAGTGGCAATGTTAGTGCCAGGAAAGAGGTTTTGGAGCCAGGGCTCAATGTCTCTGAAAGGGTCTGCAACAATGTGTAGATGGACTCTGACTTGGGCGTAGCTGTATTCGAGTAATAGAGAGTTGTTCCAGGTTTGGGTATCAAAGTGCGGAGAGCTTCACATCAACTAAAGTTGTCTTCGCCAAGGATTGTCGGCAACGAGAAGTACGGCGTGTCCGTGGACGCCCTCGAAGCCTGTGCGGCATATTTCAAAAAAAGAAACACGCCTTGACTGCAGCGCTAGGTGCTAAGCAGTAAGACAGTGACTACAAGTCCATGACAGCAGTCTTAGGCCGGGGCCACGCAACTTTGCATCCTTTAGATCTGCATCCGTAATTGCGCCTAACTTATCCCCCCAACAGCAGTCTTTCCAATAGCTGGATGCCTGTAGACTTGGCATCTCGGGTCTAGCTTCTGCGACCGCGCGAACAGCTTGTGTCTCTGCACACCATATGGGTATTGGGTCGTTTTTTTTAATAAGGGTGCCGTACTATATTGGGGTCTTTAAAAGGGGACCCTAATTTAGAGAACTAACCCATACCTTCAACTACCAAAACCTACTTTTTTGTAGGGTCCCTATAAATTCTATATTTGGATCTATAATAAGAACCTACAAAAAAGTAGGTTATGGTAGCTTAAGGTATCATGGTTTCCCGGAGGCAAACGTCCGGTTGCGACGCAGGGCTGCGAGCTCCCAATCCTAAGCCTTAAGCCAATCCTACTTGGAGGTTCGTGGGTAGTTGTAAGGCTCCTTTAAGGGATCCACAAGGGATCTATAAGAGCTCTATAAGGGGTCCTATAAGGGGGTATAAGAGTAGTTATAAGTGGAGTTAGAATTCCCCTAATAATATAGGTTATAACTTATAACTATAGTGACCCTACTTATCACCCTACTTCTAGCTACCCATGATCCTCCAAGTATGGATACCCCTCAACTTTGCATCATGTGGGTAGTTCTTAGACTGAGGGTCCCTTTTCAGGTCCCAAAACGCGACACCCGTATACAAAGTCCCCGAGAAGTAGCCCGAACCCTCCAGGTACCTACTATATAGGGCCCTAGGGGCTCTAGTACCCTCTATAGTAGGTACCTGGAGGGTTAGGGTAACAAGGGACCCCCAATTTTCTACTTTATTTGAGACTCTAGATCTGCACAGAATGTGTGCTTCGGAGTGCTCAAGTCTAACAAGCATTCATTGCCCACCTTGAAGTCCGTAAGTGCAATGAGCGAAAGCCTGAACCCAAAAGCCTGCAAATCCGATTCCCCCGATCTCTAAACCTTCGATATCCCCAAGAGTCTAGCCGAAGTGAAATCCTAGAATCCTAGACCCAACTACTGCATGGACCTGAACAGTCACCAATCGATTCCAGACAGTTCCTTAGCACAGCTTTTGTGTACTTTCGTACGGCATGCACTAAATCCCTCATGAAGGGGTTAAGGCCCTGAGGCCCCTATAACTATATTTCCTTGAATCCTATTCCTAAGCACTTTGAGGGGGCCTGTATATATTCGTGAGGCTCGTCATATGACCCTTAAACCCTATAAAGCTAAACCGCCTTAAACCCTACAAAGCCTAACACCTGAGTATGATCTTCGTAGTGAGCGTTTATACTAGGTGTCAGGGCCCCAATCTTCTGTTCTTGGGAGCCCGGATCTGATATTCAAGACCCTACCCATAGGCCCCTAAGTAGTTCCTTTTTGGGATTACCTTATAGGATTCTAAATATAAACCACGAAAAGGAACTACTTAGGGGCCTCTGGGTAAACCCAAAAGGTTTGTGGTTGAGGGTCTAGGGTTTAGGGTCTACCTAGGCCCCAAAGAACCTAGTTCTTTAAGGACTTATATAAAGAAGTCATAATAAGGAACTCCTAAAAAGGCAGGTTTTATAGGGTTAAGGTAGGGTTTAGGGTCCGGGGTTGAGGGCTCTCGACCCCAAGCCAACATCCCCAATTCTAGGGACAGCTGCCCAGGAGAGCTGTGACGAGCACGTGTGCATCACAACCGTAGGGATCAAGTGCGGCTCCCGGTCGACACGTCCGTTTTAGGGGTTTTAGGTGTAGGAATAATTTGGGGTTATAAGAGTCTTAAGGGTTTCAGGTGTAGGAATTTGGGGGTCATAAGAGTCCTAAGGGTTTCAGGAATTTGGGGGTTATAAGGGGTTTAAGGTTCTTGTTGTAGGAATTTGCGGATTTTTAAAGGTTTTCAGAGTTTCGACTGCTTTAGAGCAGAAGGGTCCCATGAAGGGGGGCTTGCCAAAGGGGGTTTGTAAAGGGTGCTTGTAGGGTCCATGTGCCCATGTCGCACTTGCTCTGGCCATGCTGGAAGTTACAACTTATTGTGTTTAGGGTTTAGGGTTTAGGGTTATTTCAGTATTTCAGCGTCAAAGTATATGCTACATGGGTACTTGGACCCCTGCGGGGAAGGTAGCTAAGCTTGGGGCTTGTAAAGCTTAAAGGTTCAATGCTAGACTCCGGTTTGTAACTGGTTAGGGTTTTGATTACAAGTTCAGAATTCAAGGGCACGGATGTTATGTTCAGGACATTCTCAGTCTCATATCCAAGCAACCATGATACTTGCAGGAAGTATGCGAGATTTCCCACATGGAGTCTTGTTTGGCATTTGCCATGTCGATGCAACGGGTGGATGGAGCAATTTGTCGCGAGCATGCTCTCTGCTTGCTTCTCTTAAGTTGAACCTGCACCCTAACCCCCCAAACCCGAAACCGTAGTACGGGCTTTCAATCCAACCCGTACTCATATGTTTAACCATGACCGCCAAATCATAAACTAGGACGGAGATCCATGTTGGCAGCGTTGTGCTGCTACCCTAAACCCTAAGCCCAAAGCCCTAAACCCTAAACCCTAGTAAATAAAGATGGCTTCCTCAGTATCCCCAGTCCCAGGAACTCCCTCAACGTGGCGGTTGCTGGCAGCGCCTTATAGCAACCGAGTGCTGAGACTTAGAAGTCCTGTCGGTACTGTTCTCGCTATCTATCTATCTCTCTCTCTATATATATATGTATATGCACATATACATATATATATACATATATACATATATATAATTGTGACTACTATCAATGTGATGATGATCATGACGGTGAGGATGAGGATGGTGATGATGATGATGACGATGCGTTTTGATGATGATGCTGCTGCTGGTGATGATGATGATGGTGATGAATTCTGTTAGCATGTTTTGAGAATCCAATCTTTTCGCCTTGGCGTTGCTGTCATGCACTCCTCATTTTGCCTTGTGGTTGCAAGAACTTTTCAGAAAAAATCTTGCAGTCGCAATGGGTTCACGAACTCCCAACCTCAACTACTCCATGGCCCTTGCGTTCTGTCAGTCGTGCAGCACGTTTGTTTTATCACGTGGACATGTCCTACCATGGCCAATGCAACTGGATCAGGACAGCAGTGAGAGTTGTTGCCATGCAGAAGAGACGACGGCAGATGATGTTGTTGGCGATGTTGTTAGTCCTCATAGAATTGCAAAATGGCGCCCCCAACTACCGTGAGCCCTCTACCCATTCAGGCATTGCGGTTTTCGAAGTGGCACTTCGGCTGAATGATGGCTGCAGCATTGATGTTGCTGTTCGAAACCATCGTGTAGCCCCGTACATCGGGTGGTACAGTAGTACTTTAGTAGGAGGAGGAGTAGTGGTAGTAGTAG